TCTGTGGAAATGGTTTTGAGAGAGACATGTATAGTCCCATTATTTGTGCTTTCAAAGTTAGGGACCCCAGCTTTAAAACAATAGTCAAACCACATCCTCCACTGTCTTCATTCTGCTCTAAACCACATGTCATTGAATTGAAAATCAGATGGAGGAAAAAAAACAGTTGCAACGAGAGACAATAACGGGAATTTGGTTTGAAAATCAATTTAAATACTTAGCGTTGTCTAAATTGGCTCCAAAGTCAAGTCTGTAGCATTGAAATGGTCTGAATCCTCACTGCTCAGTCCTGTGTTAGCTTTAGCGGTGTCTTCTGCACAGCTGCTCTCCCAAACGGCAGCACAGGGACCAGCCTCAGGAACTCTGCAACTTTTCTCTCCCACAAACACTCCCTAACGCCCTTTTTAGGTCTGAATAAAAAAGCGAAACAGTTTTGTACGGGCATTAAGCTCTTTAAACCGACAACAAAGCCAAGAATGAATAAAACGCAGATGTAAAAGCAGTATCGTTGGGGATTACGGGAGATGTACGGCAGAAGGTTTGCAGACGGGAAAATGATTGTAAAACTGATTCAGGTTCACACTTGTTGGTCTGGTGCGCTTTAACCGGACCACTTCTGGTTCAGATGAAACAGAACTTGTGACACTATTCCCTTAAGTCACTTTCAATTATTAGTAACATCTGTGAAGCAGTTTTTCTCCAAGTGAGAGAAAGACTTCCATTTAAAGTGAACTGTCTCTCCAAGATACATCTGTGACCTGTTAGAGCCATATGAACCAACATGGACTCTGAGGAGCACAGGGACTGGCCTCCTGCTGGGACTCTGAGGAGCACAGGGACTGGCCTCCTGCTGGGACTCTGAGGAGCACAGGGACTGGCCTCCTGCTGGGACTCTGAGGAGCACAGGGACTGGCCTCCTGCTGGGACTCTGAGGAGCACAGGGACTGGCCTCCTGCTGGGACTCTGAGAAGCACAGGGACTGGCCTCCTGCTGGGACTCTGAGAAGCACAGGGACTGGCCTCCTGCTGGGACTCTGAGGTGCACAGGGACTGGCCTCCTGCTGGGACTCTGAGGAGCACAGGGACTGGACTCCTGCTGGGACTCTGAGGAGCACAGGGACTGGCCTCCTGCTGGGACTCTGAGGAGCACAGGGACTGGCCTCCTGCTGGGACTCTGAGGAGCACAGGGACTGGCCTCCTGCTGGGACTCTGGGGAGCACAGGGACTGGACTCCTGCTGGGACTCTGGGGAGCACAGGGACTGGCCTCCTGCTGGGACTCTGGGGAGCACAGGGACTGGACTCCTGCTGGGACTCTGGGGAGCACAGGGACTGGCCTCCTGCTGGGACTCTGAGGAGCACAGGGACTGGCCTCCTGCTGGTCTCAGAGTCAGGACTAAACATGAGGATACAGCGTTTCAGATTTATGTCGCTAAATTCTGAAAATGTGAGACAGGATTCTTTTTTAATTAGACCATAGTCGACCTGTACTGACAAAGAAGATCTAGAGCTTGTGTTTAATATATATATATATATATATATATATACAGTATGTTTGAAGAAACCAGGGGTGGGATTAAATATGTTTTTTTTCTTCTTCCCACTCCTTTTTATCTGCAAGTGTTTCCTTTGTGTATATAATATTTATAGTTTCGTATTATGTAAATGTAACTCAGGGTTATTTATGCACAATTTTGATTTTCTACTTTTGCTTCTTGTACACTTATTTACTCAAAATAAACATGGCTTATTATAAAGATTGGTTAAAGAATGACAGAGGAATACGCTCTAAACTAAGGACTTTTGACACGTAGGTACCATGATCTCTCTCCTCCAGTGTTACAGGCTCTTTGGAATGTGACCCATCAACACAACCCATAAAAACATCCAAACTCTCCAACCTCAGATAAACATACAGTATCCATAACTCCTAAAGCTGTGAATGTCGTTACGCAGCGTCCACCTGTCTCACGCTCACTTTCACATTTATCCGCGATGACTTTGCTCCGGGATGAAAAATACAGGAAGCACCAATTTGAGGCAGAAGTGCAGAGAGGAAAGCTGCCACTGCTGCAGCTCATTCATTTAGCCCGGGCGCTGGAGGGGGGCCAGGGCTAAAGTGATCTGATAGACAGAGAATGAACGACCCCCTCCTCCGGTGCTTACACAGGCGTTCTGCTGACTCCATCTTTTACTGTGGAAATGTGTGCGCCACGACCAATCAGCTTTGTGACAGCTGCACAGTCATGAATGAAGCAACCGCAGCCTGCAATTAGCAACGACACCAGCGCTTGGACGATAACAGTCATCGCAATGTAATCGTGAGACTAAAAAAAGGATTATTATTGAGAAGCCGAGATGAAAAAGCGTGCACTGTTATCGCCACGCTTTCTTCAATTGTACATAATATTGCACACTTCTGTCTGTTTGCACAATCTGAGACATGTACATTTCTCCAGTGTGAGATCAGCAATGTCTATCTTATCTTATCTTATCTTATCTTATCTTATCTTATCTTATCATATGAATCTAGATGCATTAGGAGTTTAAAATGCAGTTAAAAACACACCTTTTTTCTTTGCCCTTTCGCACACGCTGAGCTGACTCAATGTTTCTGTCCTTTTCTGCTGTTGCTTACTTTTTTTGATTGTTTTATCCCTGGTGGAACGTACAGAACCTTGTGCTCTTGTAGTTTTATGCGCTTAAAAATAAACTCGACTTTGGCTTTGAATATACACATACAGTACAACACAGTGAGTCTGAATGTAAAGGTTTTTTTCTATGACTTACATTTTAGAGCAGACATGTTCCCTGTGTCCTTGTGTGTGACCCTCTGCCCTGCTAACACCACCGTTGAGGTGTTAGCTTCATCTATATATACAGACATTCGTTTTTGATTGTGTCCCATAGCTCCATAGATGGTGGTGAATCAATATGGACGTATCATACCCAAAGTGAAAGCCCAGAATAGAGACAATCCATCCAGAACAGTTTTACAATCACTGTCGTCTGCCCCTGGACGAGGTTCTCTGACTCAAAACTTCGGGCAGATTGTAATTCATAAAGCTACTAATATATATATAGTACTAAGTTATGGAGATTGAGAAGTAAATGTGCATGGAAGTGAAAGGAAAGAGTTGGATAAGTTTGATTATGGCATCATGTTGTCTGTACTGTAGCCACTAGCTTATTATATATATAGATTATAATATATGTAGTTTTTGAAAGGATTGAAAGTAACGTACAGAAAATGAATAATATGAATACTCTACAGTAATGTTTATAGGTTCAATCTGAGTTTCTAAATGTAGGCTTCAAACTGGGATGGAAACAGAGCTGACTTACATCTGTGACATGTTAGTGCCTTATGAACCAACTCTGAGGAGCACAGGGACTGGCCTCCTGCTGGGACTCTGAGGAGCACAGGGACTGGGCTCCTGCTGGGACTCTGAGGAGCACAGGGACTGGGCTCCTGCTGGGACTCTGAGGAGCACAGGGACTGGGCTCCTGCTGGGACTCTGAGGAGCACAGGGACTGGGCTCCTGCTGGGACTCTGAGGAGCACAGGGACTGGGCTCCTGCTGGGACTCTGAGGAGCACAGGGACTGGCCTCCTGCTGGGACTCTGAGGAGCACAGGGACTGGGCTCCTGCTGGGACTCTGAGGAGCACAGGGACTGGACTCCTGCTGGGACTCTGAGGAGCACAGGGACTAGCCTCCTGCTGGGACTCTGAGGAGCACAGGGACCGGCCTCCTGCTGGGACTCTGAGGAGCACAGGGACTGGCCTCACAGGGACTGGACTCCTGCTGGTCCCGGAGTCAGGACTAAAAATGATTTTAATGCGTTGTGTGATTTACATTTTCCTTTTCTTGTTTTGTCACGCACTTTGACTTGCCTTGTGTATGAACTGTTCAAACTGCAGCAAAACACAGAAATTATCTTTTTATTATCGGCTTTGTCTGAAATAAATATCTGTACAAATGGTGTCCCTGTTACGGCCAAGAAGACCGTGACAAACTCAAACTCAGTCCATGTTATCTTTGAGCAGTCACATGACTCTGCCCAGCATGAGAGCCACACAAAACACCACGGTTCGGTTAAGTCCTCTTTGATAATGACTGTTGTGATTTACAGTAGGGCTAAACAAGAATAAAGTGAATTGAATTATGCATCTCCTTCTTCGACTCGTCATCCTGAGAGTGCCTAGACCTGTAGCCGGTGAAGAATACTTTGAAATGACCACATATAGAAACAGTAGCTCTAAATACTCAACAGTGGCCCGAATACTCAAATTGGTGGAGTATGTTCAATGTTTAGATTCTCCTGAGCATTGCCTATAGCATACCGTAGGATTGGTACATTTAAGTTTTGAATCGTATCACCCTGAAACATGAAAATATTAGGAAATCCTGCAAAGTGAGGGCTTATCTTTTCATAGAATGTCTGAGGCTTATACAAGGTCTGATAAAATGTGACCCTATACGTGCTTTCTGGTCGAACCCAATCAAGGTAATGCATCTCTGATAATAATAATAATAATAATAATAAGCATGAGTAATATACTATGGGTGGGGTCTGACCAATGCGAGATGAAGTGGTATATCCACCCGGAGAGGAAGTGTATATTCCCAGTCATGCCTCCCACAGAACTGTCCGCCTCTCTACCAAACAATCCCCAGCTTTATCCTCACTCACACATCCTCACGCACGCGCACAGACATTCCCACACACGCACACACACACACACACACACGCACACGCACACACACAGCCTACACTACAACATTATCACGCGCACGCAGCAGTGTCAGCTCTGATGTTGAGCCCGGCCAGATAACATTGAGGTCAAGTCCGAGTATTTCCAGCACACACAGAGAATCAATGGGGATGAGGGGATTTTTAACCTACTTTCCCCTCACCCCAAAAAGCCAACCGACCCCACAATAACACCCACGCCATAGCAATAACGCATCTAAACACCACATATCCACATTTTTACCTGTTTCAATACGAGTCAATGTCACAGCCGCCTGTCATGGCCACACTCGCTGCTTTTCGCTTGAAGATGTCTGACAGCCAGGCAGAGGGACAGGGAAGGAGCGCGTCTTCACGGAGCAAGGTGGAGCCGACTCTGCATGACACCGACCAGGCGTAAATCCAATGCATGTACGCGACGTTTGCAGCGTGCGTCCGCCTGAGCCCACACCGCACGATCGGCCCACCACCCCAGTCTCGGAGCGCATCCAAAAAAAAACGCACACGCACTCCCACACACGCGTTATGTGCAGCCTCCTCAGTGAAAATGGACGCGTGACATCCCAGAGACAGCTCCCAGCGGGGGGTTCGGGGTCGGATACAGCAGGAGAAGAGAGGGCTAAGCTTGGATGCAGGCAGTGGAGGGGCTGTGCATTATGGAGCAGGCGGGCGACACACAGAGGTCCTCTGGCCAAGCCCCTCCTCGTTATCGTACAGTGGAGAGAGATGAGAGGGGAGGAAGAGGAGAGGGGAGGAAGAGGAGAGGGGAGGAAGAGGCGTCACTCTCCATCACCCACTGTGCGCGCGCGAGAGGAAATGTCCGGTCAAAAACTGACAGCAGGGGGTGCTTCAAGTCACGTGGGATGAGGCAATTGGGTTTAATTTACAAGAGGCCATTCTGTCATATTAGACAGTGTTTTCATCAACGCTGTGGATTTTTGAACCCACACAACAATTATTTCTTCATTATTCTTGCACAGACTTATCTACAGATGCATACAAGTATATATTTGTATATGTTTTATTTATTTATTTATTTTTATTTTATATTATTTATTTATTTATTTTTGGAAGAATGCAATTGTGCTATATCTTGTGTTGCTTATTCCTACTGTTCTGAAGGGAAAATAAATATATTTAGATATTTTCTTGACAAGGGTGGGCATGTACTGTATACTATTCTAGTATAGGGGTCATAGGGTCTTTGCTCACGTGATGGATTATTGATTTTGTGTCCATTGGCAAGGCACCCCACCGTCTTTGTCTGCACATGGATTTAGGCTGCAAACAGACGCTGCAGTGTCGCAATGTCAAACGGGTGCTATAAACCCGTTTGACATGATCAAAGTAGTGATAATGTTTGATTTGTTAAAGGTATATAGGAGGATTTTCTACTTCCGGGTGGATAATCAAGGCTATTGGTTCTCCTAATTGTCAATCATCCTATACCTGCAACTGAACCCAGTGCTCAGTGTTTACTACTAGATGAGAATCATAAACCCAAATCAATGAATCCGATACTATTCCTTCAATATTGTTTAAATTAGGCTAAAATATCAATACAATTTCATTTATTTGTTTAACTTGAAAAAAAACCCCACAGAAAAACAATACAGAGCATCTTGAACTGAAAGTGTCAGAGCAGTTTCATTATACAGTAATCCTCAAGCGCCCTCTTGTGTTCAAACTGGGTAATGACAGCTGTAAATAATCCTCTCTCTTTTCAAAGGGAGACCATCTTTCAGACGGATTTGAAAATAAAAACACTGTATTTTTTCGGGTTTTTTTTAAAGTTAATGTTTTCACTGCTTCAATTACTAAAAAGTGTGTTTTTTCATTGACATAAAGGTTGAGGGAAAGTGAGGAGGTAAAATCATTGTCCAGCCTAATTTTATGAAAGTGATATTTTTCTTTACTACTCCCGCTCTCTAAGTTCATTGATAATTTAGTTGTAAATGTAATCATGTATTTGTATTGCGCACATTCACCACTAGATGGGAGCGAAATCACCCCAAATACACAGAACAGATACAGAAAAATACACATAATTTAGGACTAAGCCTCACAAACTACACTCTTAATATATTGTTTATTATTAGAGCAGCTTTCAGTTCTGGGCCCAACGAGTCAAATAGTGACTCACAGGGCACATTCTTACAAGTGTGCAACAGATAACGTCTAATTTTTGCAATGTTGGACCACATCAGTGAGCTTTGTAGGGCCATTTTGCACAAGTGTCACAAAGATATTCACAAAAAATGTATGTATTTGATATCCGTGGTGAAGTGAACAAATAGCTAAAAAAAATAATAATTTAATAACTGAATAATAAATACATCAATCAATCAATAAATGAATACATAAAATATATATATCTATAAAAAGTAATGAAAAATAAATACATAAATAGGTACATACATAAATACAGTATGTTGGGAAAAACAACCAAAAGTCCAGTACCCCAGCTTTAATGATCTTTGAAGACAAACTATATCATAATGTTTGTATGTGTTTTTGATGTTACATGAGAGATATGTTCTGAAGCACTGTTTTGCAATTTGACGCGCAACAACAGGCAAAACGTATTCTAGCAATTAAGGCTCACCCTGTTTTGAGCATCTGTTGAGGTAATCTTATCTCTCCATTGTGTGGTCCCATCACACTATCGCCATGGGAACAGGTGAGAGAGCCGAGGGGGCGGGTCCTTCGTGGGTTTAGCCCTGACCCGAGCTCCGGATCAGCCTCAGAGCCGCTGGACCACGAACCAGAGACAATCACTGCACCTGCACCTTCTACAGACGTTTGGTTCACAGAAGGTAAGATATGGACGGGTTTGCTTTCATTTATAGGGTTTTTTTTTTATATGTGCAAATTTTTAGCATATGGCTGGTTATATTACTATGTTAGGCCTCAGAACTCTAAATAACATTGTAGCCGAGCAAGGAAAACACAGCAGATACAGTCTTTAGTACTTTTGGCAGTCTTTTTCTAAGTCTGAGATAAAAATCATCCAAAAAGTGCTCAGAGAATCTAAAATTCTATTTGTGTGAGTTTTTTTTTTTTTAGTATCAATACTTTTTGTAGTTTTGATACCTAGAATCAATTGATACATGCTTTTTAATACTTACATGCTGTTAAAATATACACATCTTCCATTCAGAGAAAGTAGTGTGAGCAACATCCAAGGCAAGCAACCATTGACAAACTATTCTTTTTATTGCTGTTGCTTTTATTGTAATTTATACCACTACATAAACTATAGATTTATAACCTCTCATTCCTTCTGCTGTTGCGTCACCACACACATTCATTACTCTTTATTTCCCAACAGATTTCACTGTGCTGATTCCCATGTGGGTTGTGGAAAGGCTCCGGGAATCCATGGACAAATGCGGCCAGCCCATGCCTTCGACGGACTTCAAACTCAAACTCGGCGAGATCATGTTTGGCGAAAAGATCCACAAACCCAAGCGTATATCCTGCCCCAACGTCATCACTCCCGACAACATCCCAGAGTTCTGCATCCCTCCCACCATCCCGTCCTCGCCGCACCCCCTTGACGCCGGCCGAACTCCACGAACCCTCCAAACCGCTCCCAGACTCGAGATGGAACCCGCGCCCCAAGAAATGTACAACTCGCACATCATCCAAGTGGAAAGCGTGGACGAAAGCCCGAGCGACGCGTGCAGTGACGAGGAAACTACAAACGCGGATCCGCAGAGTCAAGCCGCTCTGTCGCTTCCGCACTTAGCCAAGACGCAAACTTGCTACGGCTTTTGCACCTTACTGGAAAGCCCTCACACGCGCCGGAAAGAGTCCATTTTCCACAACGACTGCAACTCCCCGTTACTCCTCCCTCGTAGCCGCTCGAGCTTCTGCGCTAAAGCGTCGTCTCCAAACTCCTCCCCGTGTCCTTCTCCGTCCTCCTACAGCCTCAACCACTTGTCTTCCAGGCTTTCCCCGCGATCTCTGAACTGGCAACACGCCTTGGACAGTGACACCACCTCCTCCACGGAATCCTCTCCCTTCAGCTCTCCTCTGCTGAACCGATACCCCAAGGCATCGCTATTCAAAGCTTTTAGCCACGAACTGCTCCTGTCGAGGAATTTGAGGAAGGCGATGGTGTCGAGGAACAACTCCTTGTCCACGGACGAAGGCAGCTCCACGGACAATAGCCCCAACATTATGAGGAGGGGGTCCGATGTGCTGCCGGAACTTCCGAGCAACTGCAGTCTGGCCCCTCCTGCTGTCTTCCCCTTGGATCTGAACTTGCACCGGGAAAGGCTGATGAAGGAGAGGATGGTGCCGATTGGGAAGGACGGCAGCTTGAGGTTGTTTGCGGAATATTGCCCGGAAAATCTCAGACTCAGAGTGCGCCTGATCAGTGCAGAGGGCCTGTATCCGCTTTCAGTCGACCCCAAGATTATAAACTGCAGCGTCAGTTTGAGTTTGGTGCCCGGTAAAGTCCAGAAACAGCGGAGCACGGTGATCAGAAAGAGCCGGAACCCCATTTTCAACGAGGACTTCTTCTTTGATGCCGTGACGGAGGAAGACTTGGAGCAGAGGTCGCTCCGGTTTAAGGTGGTCAACAAAATGTCCACCTTAAAACGAGACTATCTGCTTGGCGACTGTGATCTCCAGCTGTCCAGTATTGTCACCTAATAACAATACTTTCCAAATTTACTATTTATTATTTATGTGTTTTCTCTCATTCGCAATAAACTATCATTTGTTGAAGAATATAAAAGTGTTGCCATTGTGTTGTCTTCAGATTGTTTTGGTCGAAACTCAATCAGACAGATAACTACTGTTTTGGAAAGACAGTCATCCTTATGGTTTCACATAATAACCGCAGAGTGTGTGGTGGGATGTCAGAGAAGATAACAAAAAATGCCTTTATTGCCAGATTCACATTTTTCTTGGGCGTCAAAGGTACAAGACACACACACTGTTGAATCAGTAAATGGTAATGCAGGAGTAGACAATACAGTAAAATAATCTGTCTTTTTTTTATTTCTGCATCTAGATTGGTATAACATTGGTTGTGTGTGTTTTTTGGAGACATTATAGATATTTTCTGAGATCAAAAATGAATGATGCAAACACAAACATTATTCAGTTTGCCTTTTGAAATGATATGGCCAGCGATAAAATGCATTTCTTTAATCCCCGATCCATCGAGTTCATCAGGGGGCCCCAAACCTTTTAGTAGTAGGGTCACTTGAATCAACCAGACTTGTCCAGGGGCAGACTAAATGGATTGTAAAACTGTTTTGACTGTCAGGCTGATCTGGGATTTAAAATAGGGTCATATACAAAATTCTGTGACACAATCAACAAAAAATGTCAGTATATAAATATATAAAGCCAACAACTGACAACAGAGATTCTCAGCGTCACAAGGAGCCATAACAAGGACATATTGGTTAAGCTGAAGTTGGCTGGATGACAATATTAAAGTGCCTCAAGGACTAAAGTCTGTGTCAGCAAAACAGAGGGCCACAAAAAAATGGCAATGGGCCGCATTTGGTCCACGGGCCTTAGTTTGGACATGCTTGATCTAGTCTGGGTCAATGCACACATTTACTTATATGTATATATTTTTTAACTTTTTAACGGTTTGCACACTTCCTGACTATTTAAAAACCCTGAGTGATCTTATTGAGGACAAATGTAGAATACTGTGGGATCAATAAACATTTTGGGTGGAGGGACCTTCGTATTCACTTCATATTTTTATAAATGTTTTGGGTTTTTTTCACAAATTTTAAATTTTGTTTGTCCCAACAGAAAGTCTTAAAATGCTTCAGTATCTTTATCTTAGCAGAAAACTGATCTTGTGTACCTGTAAGTCACTGAGTCAGTGGTTTAAGATAACCAAGAATTAAAAAACATAACACAGAATGATTGAATATTAATACACAACGTCCCAACTGTCTGTGGTGTTGGCATCACCTGTCCATGTCGAGACTGCCATGTGCAAATGGAATACAAATTCTACATAAAGCAGTTATTCTGAACTGTTTCAGGCCATTATTATCGGGAAAAAGCAAAAATGACTGCCATAGGCACAAAACGTCTCTAAGGGCCTGCTGGATCATTTCAGCTACTTCCCGGCAGTTGTTGATTATTCATTGTTATGGCTATAGCCGGAGAGAGTTAATCAGAGGATCGTCTTTCCCCTAATCCTGCTGTTTTCTCTCTGACCTTTACCGAGATTAAATAAATCCACAGAAACCAGAGACCCCAGGGGAGACTTTTCGCAGGCATTTCACCGAGTGTGGAGCCAAAGTTCTACAATACCCTTGACTGTAAATGTATGCAAACACAGAGAATCTTATGTATATAGCATTGATTCATTCTTTCCAGAACAAAAACAAGTTTAACCACCAGCATCTTAACTAAATGCAGCTACGACTTCCTGCCCTGGACCATAAAGGGCAGGCCTAAAAGCCTCTGGGCCATTATAGCTAGTTAAAGATTAATACTTTTCTCAGTATAGTCAAAAAGGGGTGTTACAGCGAGCCCACAAACAACATCACTCCCTCCAACTGTAGCTTTCAGCTTTCAGCAGCGGAATGGAGACAATCTGACAGAGAACGTGGCTTCTACTGAGACACATCTATTGTTTTAATGCAGTGTAATGCCGTGTTGGGCAACTTACTCCAAAAGCCTGATACATGATGTGTTAATTCAAACTAATGTGATACACTACGATATTACTGTTTTTCTTTAACATTTATTTAACCAGGAAAGTCCCATTGAGATAAAGAACCTGGACAAATGTTACACAGTTACAGTGGGGCAAAAAAGTATTTAGTCAGCCACCGATTGTGGAAGTTCTCCCACTTAAAATAATGACAGAGGTCTGTAATTTTCATCATAGGTTCACTTCAACTGTGAGAGACAGAATGTGAAAAAAAAATCCACGAAGATTCAGATTCAGTTTATTTGCCATTTGCAGTAAAACCACATTGGAATACATTAGCAAAAGTCTCCAGTGTGCACAGACAAATACAGACATAAAACAACATTAAAAGACAAAAATAAAACAAATAAAACAGTAAACAAATGTCACTGTGAAATCGATCGACTAAAACAGTTTCAAAACAAGTGCAAATCATTAAAGTGCTCTGTTCACACTGATAACAGTCTGTGGATAAAAACTGTTAGCGTAACGAGATGTCCTGCATCTCAGAGAGCGATATCTTCTGCCAGAGGGAAGAAGCTGGAACATGGCTTTCCCAGGGTGGCCAGAAGAGTCATTAACAATCCTAAGAGCTTTGTTTAAAAGTCTGGATTTATAAAGAACCTCCAGAACAGGAAGCTCACAGCCCACGGTCCTCTTTGCAGAGCGGAGCACCTTGTTTAAAGCTCTCTTTTCTTTATCTGTGATGTTTCCAAACCACACAGACACAGAACCAACAAGTAAACTCTCAATGGTGCAGCCATAAAAGTTAAGCACAATCTTAGAGTTAGTGGTAAATTCTCTAAGTTTACGCAGACAGTAGAGACGCTGACGAGCTTTCTTAACGACTCGGTCAGTGTTTTTAACCCATTTCAGGTTAGACAGAGTTAAACCCAGAAACTTGCACTCCTCTACGATCTGCACCTGGGAGTTGTCGATTACGACAGGCAAATGAGAAGGCTGGTGAATGACCTGCAGAGAGCTGGGACCGTCAGTAACACACTACGACGACAGGGAATCAAATCCTGCAGTGCCAGACGTGTCCCCCTGCTGAAGCCAGTGCATGTCCAGGCCCGTCTGAAGTTTGCCAGAGAGCACATGGATGATACAGCAGAGGATTGGGAGAATGTCATGTGGTCAGATGAAACCAAAGTACAACTGCTTGGAATAAACTCAACTCGTTGTGTTTGGAGGAAGAAGAACACCATACCTACTGTGAAGCATGGGGGTGGAAACGTCATGCTTTGGGGCTGTTTTTCTGCTAAGGGGACAGGACGACTGATCCGTGTTAAGGAAAGAATGAATGGGGCCATGTATCGTGAGATTTTGAGCCAAAACCTCCTTCCATCAGTGAGAGCTTTGAAGATGAAACGTGGCTGGGTCTTCCAGCATGACAATGATCCCAAAGACACCGCCCGGGCAACGAAGGAGTGGCTCCGTAAGAAGCATTTGAAAGTCCTGGAGTGGCCTCGCCAGTCTCCAGACCTCAACCCCATTGAACATCTGTGGAGGGAGTTGAAAGTCTGTGTTCACTGCTCTCGAGAAGATCTGCATGGAGGAATGGGCCAAAATACCAGCTACTGTGTGTGCAAACCTGGTAAAGACCTATAGTAATCGTTTGATCACTGTTATTGCCAACAAAGGTTATATTGAGTTGAATTTTTGACCAAATACTTATTTTCCACCATAATTTACAAATACATTCTTTAAAAATCCTACAATGTGAATTCCTGGATTTTTTTTTCACATTCTGTCTCTCACAGTTGAAGTATGATGAAAATTATAGACCTCTGTCATTAATTTAAGTGGGAGAACTTGCACAATCGGTGGCTGACTAAATACTTTTTTGCCCCACTGTAGATACAATTACGGATTATAAAAATAACTACACAGAATTTCACACACGTTTGTAAAGCATTACACTACTACTGCATTACTTGAGTTACTTTAACCAAATATAAAAGTACAAACTAAAGCTCATGTTGCCGTTGCATGAGGCTGATAAGAGATGCTGGTTTACTGTTATAGTATGTTTCACATCTTTGTCACCTTCAAACTCAAAATAATAATAATAAGGAACACCATAGCACTTTTCTAGACACCCAAAGGTGCTTCACATGTCATTATTCCACAGATCCCACAGATGCCCAGGGGTACATGGACAGAGGCGAGGAAACCAGTATGCGCCATCAGCCCCTCAGACCACACACACACACACACACTCCCTCTTGGCAATGTGGATGAAGTGTCTTGCCTAAGGACACAACCACAGTTTAACACTTTACAGCCGCAGCCGCCCCACTGTAGCACCTGGTGTTCCCAAAGGTCTCCCATCACAGCACTAACCAGGCCCTGCCCTGCACAGCTTCAGAGGTCTGGCTTTCACCTGCAAGTTTGGCCAAGCAAATACTGAGAGTCTCTGTAAAATGTACTATTTTCAATTCAAGTAAGTAAAGTTTATTTATAAAGCCGCAGACGAGGATCAATGGACCAATTATATATAGTGCCTGCTTCTGCTTCAGCCTCAGCCGTCTTCTACCACAAAGGAGAAACACTTCTCGGCAAATACTATTGCCGTGGATTTGTTCTCCTCTGCTAATCTCGCAGTTGCATAGCATAAAACAAAACACCATTTAATTTCGGGTTAGAATACAAAGTAACACACATTACTTTGTACCTTTGGGTAAAATGTCACCCAGTATTTCTTTTACATCACCGCATTACAGCCAAAAACAATACATTACTGTCATTACATTACTTTTGGAACGCCTTCTCTCAACACTGGTAAGAAGTACGGCGTCACAGAGCTCTGGTGTGTGTCTGGTGCACACTGGGGTAGTCTTGCACAGTTTTTCCAATGTGGTTTTACTGCAAATGGCAAATAAATGAATCTGAATCTGAATCTGTCATGCAGGACTCGGGCATTTACAAAGTGGGTAAAAGGTAAACAGATATACGTATATTAGGCTCCTACCGACGATCTATCCCACACACAAGTCCATGTTATTCCTGTTGATACCAAGCTGTGAGGACGTAGATATGAAGGCTCAGTGGAGGCACATGTTGACTCAGCTGGAGCCCCGACCACTCAGTCCGAGGGGATTTCCACCAGTCCTTTGTGATCTGTTTTTATTCTGTCATAGCGTCATTGAGATGTGGCCTTGTCTTTGCCCGGCCCACTCACCCTTCTCCACACACACACACACACACACACACACACACACACACACACACAAGGAGCCCGATAATACATTCTATTCTCTATCTCCTGCAGTATATCAAAAGTGCAAGCTGTACTTTGCCATTATTCTGTGTCCGGTTTGGGATGTAGGTTTTTATCTCTGGGAAACATCAGCGTTCACGAGGCCTGTGCATGCTGATTGAAAGCGAAGAGGAAGTGTCTGACTTAAGCTGCTTGCGGAGTTGCCTGGTTACCTGCTTTTACCGGAAGCCAATTTCCTGACGGCAAACATGAGCAGGATTCATGCATTATGCACTTTATATTGTTGGTATTGTTGAGTAATCTTCTTCACCTATGTCCCCCAAACAAAGCACAGTGGAGAGGACGTTCCTTCGGCTACAAGACTGAACAACAGATGTGTCTGAGGTGAACATGTGCACGATTGTTAGTCAATTACACTGAAAAAAGGGAAACTGTAAATGTGTACAGATTCACAGATATGTATAATCCTGAGCACCTAAAACCAGATTATTCTATTCTCATATCGTATCTCAATAGTATCTTATTTTTATTCTTATTTTCAGCTTGTTACTTTTCATTGTTATTGTTTGTGGGATACTAAGCAAGCTACTGAAACAACGCAATTTAAAGTCTGTCTAAGTCTAAGTCATTTTGATTGAGCCGTACAACAATATTTGCCGATGAGAAAAAGAAAAAGAATCTTGTTTTTGAAATGATAGAACTGAGAAAATAAAGCATCGGTTCTTGTCTCTTTGGCAAATCTGGTTTTAACACAGTCAGAATGCACTGTGTTAAGTCAGTGACTCAGGGACTACAGGTGTAAATTAGCACTGCTGCTAAAACCTGGTACAATGCATCTCTTCTTCTGGCTAATGTTTATTGTACACTGTCCCTGTAAAAATAAAAACCATACCATACCATACCAAATTAAGACAAAAACCATTTGATTCAAGCAATTGTTACCTCATATTTTGTAATTTTTTGCAGAACTTTTATAATACACCTGGATTTCTCACATAGGGGATCAATATATATATACTGTATATAAGATAAATAATACATATCTATCTACTGTATGCATTCCTATGTGTCAGTTCTTAACATTTCTGGACTTGCGAAAACAGTTTGATAATTAGATATTTGACATTTGTTACCTGTCAGTGGTACAATTCTGAAAATGCAGTAATAGATACACACAATTGTCTTACGGTAATTAAATTATAAACAGAGATTCCAAAATGAGGGAAAACTAAAGAGGACGACAGAAGAAGTGACCGCACCGACAAGAACAAGCCTTTTAGATCCGTGTGTGCTTGACCTAAATGAACCTTTAGGTCTATAATATCTCTCTGGAGACGGATGAATGTGGACCAAACCATCCAACGGACTCCAGCTGAGCGTAATCTAATCTCAGTATTGTTACAGCGGTTCTGTTCTGGCCTCACAGCTTCGATAAGTGCACGTCGGTGACTGAACAGAATCATGAGAGAGAGCAGCAGAGGTCAGAGGTGAAGCTGAGGAGAAGTTTAAAACATGGTTAGGTTAAAATAAAGATCCCAGAGCACTGCTTACTCCACCACTGCAAACCTACCAAGACATGACCAACCAACAAGGACAGTGTGGAAGAGGCTGTTTCAGTTGTTCTGAGTCACTGAGCTGCGGATTAGTGTGATGTCTATAGTGCACATAACTATAATTCTGATGACCATTTTTGGCGATCAAAGCCGTAAGGGACAACTGTAATATTTCATGTAATTAGTCAAATATGAATGAAATGGACTGAGGGAAAGAAAATGGATGAATTTAGGAATGAATGATACAATACTGGTTACACATACTGGTACATGCTGGTACATGCTGGTTACACATACTGGTTACACATACTGGTACATACTGGTACATACTGGTACATGCTGGTTACACATACTGGTTACACATACTGGTACATACTGGTACATGCTGGTTACACATACTGGTACATACTGGTTACACATACTGGTACATACTGGTTACACATACTGGTACATACTGGTTACACATACTGGTACATACTGGTTACACATACTGGAACATGCTGGTTACACATACTGGTTACACATACTGGTACATACTGGTTACACATACTGGAACATGCTGGTTACACATGCTGGTTACACATACTGGTTACACATACTGGAACATGCTGGTTACACATGCTGGTTACACATACTGGTTACACATACTGGAACATGCTGGTTACACATGCTGGTTACACATACTGGTTACACATACTGGAACATGCTGGTTACACATGCTGGTTACACATACAGTAGGTCCCATTCCGTTTTGTCGCCTTTCACGCGTGAATCACACGTGAGTCTCGTGTGATTCACGCGTCTTTTATTTTCCCCCCTCCCAGTGATGCTGCAATGACCAAAACAACCACCAGGTGGCACTTGTGAGCAGGGTTACATTGGCCAGTCTCTGGAATAACCCGCAGACATTAAAACTACTGCACACTGAGAAAAGTGTTGCAAGCGCAACTTTGAACCTAAGTACTTGTATTTGCAATTTCGGACTTAAAATGTATTCTTATGGTTTTAATATTAGAAAAATAATTTCCATTTACTAAAACAAAAACAATATACCCACAAATACGTTTTGTGTGTGTATTTAACTAAATTTTGAAAAAATATTGTTGGCAGTGCAGTGCTTCTTAAATCTGACGCTATCAATAAGTGTTCAGACAAAGTAATTTCTACTGGGCGGGAGTTTGCTTCCGGTTCGGACCGTTTCCGCGAGCTTGTTGTTGGTGATGGGCGCTGAGCCAGCCTTGGACACGGTCGTGTGGTTTCCCGTGAGATCCAACTCAAAGTAAGATTTTTTAAATATATGGTGCTTTCTCTGTAAGGTTTGTCGCGTATTTGATCAAATATATACAATCTGTGGTCAAATCGTCGTTTTATTTTCTTGGCAGTTCGTGTCCAAAATTACTTCATGTTAACTGTCTACTCTAGCCCCAAACATGTTGTTAGCATAAAACTGTGCCAGTATAATGGTCCTACAATTTCGTTGTTTAGCAAAGTGATTTGTGTTAAGACTCGTAACATTACCAACTACCCCTTAAATGTTCTGAACCATAATAACAGGCGTAGTTTTCGCAGTTTGGAGCTGCTAGCTTCTAGCTAGCTGTTGCTAACGGTACGCAGCTAACATAAGTAATACATAAGTAACCAAAGTCGCTACTGTCCTGCTCTGTCTTGTTGCCGGAGGTGCAAGTGGAAAATACAGTTGGCAACAGAAGCCACGTGACATTTATTAATCTTCTATTATTTTCTACTCTTGGGGACAGTTCATTTCCCCGCAGAAGTCCCTAGTTACATTAGCTCAGCGGAGCGACTCTCAAGGAGGAGACAGGTGCAGAGCATGGTGCGGAGGCAGAAAACATGTTTATTGCTATCTGAGATCGCTCTGATTTCCTCGCGGTCAGAAAGTAGCTTGTTTCAGCAGAAAACTAACGTTAAGTTAACAGCTACTGCATGTTGTTAATGTTATGACCCGTCCGCATCAGCATCACTGTATTATATCAAGGCCTGTCTGTTTTAGCCAATGTGCAGCTATATGGTTAGTTATGATAAGTTCAAATACATTCAGAAATCTGCAGCACATTTAAAAAACCCAAACAAAGTATAAGTGATACATTATAAACATGCATTTTTAAAAGAACATACTGAGGGTGACTGCTATAGCCTATTGCAGTCACAAAATTAGAGTGGAAATGTTAAAAATCTAATGTGACTTACATTCGCATTTCATATGAACAACATTTTGGCATGTTAATTTTGAAATAAACGATATTTTGCTGGACAAGTAGGTTTTGTTTCCGGGCAAGTAAAAAATACCTGCCACTTCAAGTACCTCAAAGCACTTAATGTCAAGTCCTGACAAGGTAATACATTCAGCTAAAGACAGGTACATGTTGTGGTATAGCATGTTTTTTGTGGAATCACGTGTAGTAACGCAAAATGCACAAAGCACTTTGTTTGTACTAATCTAATGCATTTTTTATATGTAAAAAGCAGCACCGCCTGTTTAAATGCTTATGATATTTGTCCAATGAAGAGTATTTTTAAGCATGTTTATTAATTTTATTTTATTTTATTTTAGATTTTTCCTTTCACTGCTGCCAATTGATGGAGGAAAGCTACAGCAGGAGGTAAGTGTGATAAAAAAAGAACTGTTAATAAATTAAGTGAATGTAATGTACTCGCTAGGGATGCAATAGTTTTTTGGGGGGGGGGCATTATACATTGGTTGGATCCTGCTCCAGACTTGTTTCTGCTTTTTGTAATGTAAAACATTTTATCTTAACTGCTTTAAAGTGACTCAATGGTGTAAACGTTTTTGGGTCTGGAGTTTTTTTTACTGTAATGCTCATTGTTAAATAATATTTTGAATATGAATAAGGGCTGTCAAGCGATCTTAGATATTTTTATTCGCTTGATACACTTCAAACAAATTATCTTCGGTCTTCTTGCATCCCTTGTATTTACAATACATTACAATACTTGCATGTGATACTGTTTGGTATGGGCCACACTGATTTTGTTTCTGTAATTTAGAGCATAAATGAGTGTGCCCTGCAAGATTTGCGGTGAGTCCTTGGCAACAAGAGAGGAGATTTTCCATCATTTGTCATTATATACGTTTTTATATCTAAATGAACACAATCAGAAATATGAAAACATATTCAAGATAAGAAGTGCTGAATACTTCCTAATTCGTGGTGTTTTTTATTTCTATGTTGTTTCGTAGGATCCAACCGCTGCTATAGAAAAGAGGAGGGAAGTCGTAATCCGAGGCCTAATTGAATACATGGGGGAGAAGCCAGGAGACTTGATTTCAGATCTACAGGTAAAATTTCCAATCTTTTCTTTTTCAGGGTATAAAAAAAGTACCGTACCTTATGCTGATATGTCTATCATTAAGAGTAGTAGTATCACCAAATCCTCTTCATCCTCTGCATATGCTAAAAGTCAGCATATGCAGATTATTTAAAAAACATTTTGGTCTCATTTGACCATAGAATAATCTACAATCATGTAGAAAAGGTTAAATCATCTACTGGACTGGGTTTTGGTAAAGTTGAGGATGTTTCGCTTTTAGTGACACAAGCTTCTTCAGAGCTCTTAAAGTCATAAAAGAACACTTTTACCCAAACTGGACTAAAAACTAAAAAGACCCAGGTTCCTTCCAGAAGGAGAGAACCAAAACTGCCAAAAATGTCTATTCAAATTGTTTTCAATATCACTCAACTTTACCAAAACCCAGTCCTGGCGATGATTTAACCTTTTTATAAGATGGACACTCCCTGGATGAATGAGAGCCTTCACAAACATCTGACCATATGACATTCCCCCAGCCCTCTGGATGGAATGGTCACTGGAAAACTTCAGTTGGACATGAATGAACATGAGCTGGCTAAAGCAGCTGGACCTGTATGGTATGAATTAAAGGTGCACCGATCTGATCTGTCACCAATCATGATTGGTCGATCACGGCCTAATTTTTGTGATCGGTGATTGGTGAAATGCGCCGATCAGAGGGGCCGATCAAACGTAGATTTCAGACTTTCTTACAGTAGATAATCTGGTGAAAACTCCACAGTATAGCGCCGCTCTAAACCGAGTTTTAAATGTAATTCGTGGCTACAAAACCGCTCTGGATGAAATGCTCGGCTGTATCCCTCTGCGCATGTCGGCTCTCCTCTTTCCAGACTGCAGTGTAACTAAACAAAACAATGATGAAGCTTGAGCTAACCCGCTATCGCTATGCTTTAAGACAAAAACATGAGTTTGTGACAATAAAATATCAGCGTATGGTACTTCTAATAGTAGGTAAAGGAGATGATTTGCCATGTACCATTATTTACATTTGCAACTACCGCATGACTTCACATGCGCGCTCCGTAAGTGATACCACAGGATATTTAACACAAAACTGTGCTATCTGAAACGCACGTGAAACTACAATCAGAGGCAGGGGTCATTGTCCTGTCTTATTTTGCTCTTTAGTACTCACTAAATGGTAGCTCGTCAAAAGGGAAAGTATGTGCGTATGTGTTTGGCACCTCATGTCGCCGTCTCCTTGTGGAAGTTCTTTTCTTTCTTCAAATATTGTCTAATGTTACTGTCAAACTAATTTAGGCAGAAATGTGAGAAATTCCACACAGTGTGCTCACTTTTTCTAAACATTAATTGAACAAACAATATATATTTGTACCGTCAAATAATTCCTGCAACATTATAACATACATAATGGCTGAATTTATGTGTTGTATCAAATATATTTAAGCTGTTACTGATGCATTTAGACACAAATTATGTAATTTAGTGACAAATCTCAAAATTAAACAGATATAATCGACTTGAAAATGTCTGCACAGCTCATCAGCCGTCAGTTTCTCTGAATAGGTTGCGTTCACGTTTTAGAATGTGATGATGGGCAGTTGTCAATACAACTCTATGGGAGAAATACAGTTTTTGTACGAACTCTCAAACAAAAATTGACAAATGTTTTTCCTCTTCAGTATTTGACAGTGATTAGATTTACTAACCCACTTTATTATTTGTATGGCTGAAAGTCCTTTCTACTGACCAACATCACGCTCATCATTTCAAAAATTGTCATTGGTTTATAATATAAACCAATGACAATTTTTGAAATCATTATGTGCTGAAAGAGGAGACAATGAACTTTGAGACGTTTTTTTCATGTGGATTCTCCTAGTAATGATCTCAGTCAATACTAGGAGTACTACTACTCATTAACCAAAAACTAAGACAAAAAATATGCAGTTTGCCAGTTACCATAGTTAACGCCATGGAATTTTCACTTGCCCTCCACCTCAGTTTTAAATGAACACGTGAACACAACCTATTGCATTGACTATCAAAACATATCAATGTCTAATGTATTTTTCCCTCTCAAATAGAGTCTGGAGGAAACTGAAGACACTCGGCAGAATATCGCCTATCCAGTGAAGATTGTCAAAGTTGGTGACACGTACGAGATCAGCATTGATGGCCTTCAATGCATTACAGGTTTGGGCACTGTAGCCAAGGCCTCCTGTATTCTTGTTGGCGTTATATACGCATTGGACTTGAAATACCCACCCAAGCTTCAGCACACATTTGAAACTTTTCAGAGATTACTGATTGGTCTCAGTCCTGTGAAACCAAGAGCATCTGTGAGATACAGTTCACTCCTTAAAAAGCTGTCTTAAAGTTTGAATTAAGGAATCCTCACTTTTGACCCTGTTCTAACATTGTTCAAATATAAAAAGTGTTTGAAAATTCAAAATGGTGAGTTATAGAGGCTTAGAAGCACAATGTATCAGTTTTGTGAACTGCAACTGCATGTTTGTGTGTTGCAGCAGACACCTTTGTAATTCCCTCTGCAGTAGATGTAGCCATTTTTTTTTTTTGTCCTAGGGATGTGGATTGTTCATTTGGGAATTATCTGTTCACTCACTATGATTTAGTAATTTTACACATTGTGTAGGACAGGGGTTCTGAAACTTTTAAAGGCAGGAAAACAAAATCAAAATTTGGATGAAAATATTCATTTCACATTGCCCTTTTTATTGGTAGTTGTTTCCTTTTTAAAATATTGTATATCACAAGGAATTGTTTTATATATATATATATATATATATATATATATATATATGTATTTGATCAGACTCCCTCTAAATACAACTTCAGAATTTGAATGAGACGTAAACGACTAGAACATGATTAAAACCAAAGTCCTTCAAGAAAGTTTTTAGAAATCTTTAAAAAAAATGTCTACTCATCTTTTTACTTTTTTTTGTTGTTAAAACTGGAGTGGTAAGGAAAAATGGTACAGAGTTCTGTTGGAAGATAAATATTAATGTTTCAAAATGTAATATTGAATATATAGTTACATTTAAGTGTACATATTGAAAAATAAATGTTGACGTGGAAAAGCTTTAAAAGGTTTTATTTTTTCAGAACACAAGCATATTGGTATAAATGTTTATTTTAAAGTCATGTAATTTTTTATCAGAGCTGACATTCTTGAAAATGTTTTATGAGTTTTCTGAGTTTTTTGAAGTACCGAGTTTAAGTATTGAGTTATGATGTTAATGTTGCTGTTTATCGATCCTGATGGTCACACGTGAATGTGTGACCAGAGGGGGGAATGTGAGATTTCATAACACTTTTAAGCAACTTTTGTTAAAGTTAAACTCATCATTCTATCAATGTGCAGAAGCCTGTACTTTTCCACTTCATGTTTTGTCTATCTGAAGGCCAAGCTACAAGTACAACGTGGAAGCTGCTGATTGGAGGTCTCCATGCCTCCGCTCTGTATAATACACTTGCATTCTGTTGTATCTGTTGTTCGTGCTGTCTCTACCATCGACAATAAAACATGTCTTCTGTCTGAATTTAAGACGCGATCCCAGACTTGGCACATCTTCTTCAGGTGGTGGAAGGATGCGGGCCTTGTCTGTAACATCTAGAGAACAGAAGACATTTGCATGTCAAATGAGGTGATGACCGAAACAACAGGGGGCTAGGGTGGGCTTTGTTTATTCGTCTGGGGGAGGAAGGCCCAGTCCCAATACCCACACTGCACCCTACGCCCTCCTATGAAGTGTGCATTTGTTTGAAGTGCGCGCAAGGGTTTGAGTGCGCAGGTTACAAGTGTGCACAAAAGGCGGAATTGGGACAGTGCACACTGAGTGCAGGTTACGTCATCGACTCGTCAAGAGATGGTCATTTTCAGACCTAAACTTTATACAAATTAAAGGTAATTTTGTCTGATCCTTTGGGAAACTAAATGAATTGCTTCACACACGTTAAAATACATGTATATTAGTGGTTTCTAATTAGAGATAGCTGTATAATTTTAAGTTAAATGTGGGTAACTAACTGTTATCTGGTCAGTTTTTATACATTCTAAGATTATTGTACTAAGTGTAAAGTTTAAATTGAATGTTATATAAACGCTTGGTTTAAAAAGTTATTAAATTGTTAAAACACAATGTCCGTAATTCTTCATCAGACGTTTATGCTTCTTTCCAAGTAACATTGCAAAACTTATTTACACACATACTGCATATATATTTCAAAATGTATATTTAAATGCATTTTCCCGACGTTTTGGTGTGTACCGCAAAGAATTATGGGCAATATCCTTCGCCAGAGTGCGCATAGATGCAGGCTACGGCGAAGTGTGGATCAGGGGCGCAAAGGGGGCGGGGCCAAAGACCTCCCTGGAGAATTGGGACACCCTACGCACTCGCACCCTTTATCGGGAACGCGCAAATGAGGGGCGCGAGGGTGGAAGTGCGAGTATTGGGACGGGGCCGAAGGGCTGCGAATGAGTGACTTCCAGACTGTGAACCCTGAGAATTAATATACTGTATATATTTTGTAATAACATTTTTAACACAGTATGTTTCATTCTGACTGAAGCACATGATAATGTTATAAAACAGTATGTTTCATTCTGACTGAAGCACATGATAATGTTATAAAACAGTATGTTTCATTCTGACTGAAGCTCATGATAATGTTATGTGATGTGAGAAATGCACTAAAGCCACTGGAGAAAAACTGTAACTATTCAGATCCTCCCCCTCCCCCTAAGATGGCAAAGTGAAGCTCAGCCTGTGATAACGGCCCTATTTACATAACAAAGTTGGCCGTTCACAGGTGATTTCGTTTGTTAGCTAAAATCCTTGGGGTCATTTGACACCGTGGAGGGGATGATAGGTATAAGTGCCAAATGACACCTCCATGCGAGTGCTAGTGTTAAAGCTGCTTTCAATATCTTTTCAAATCTGTTTTCCTTTTCTCCATAGCATGTCTGTAACAAAAGTTCTCATAATCTGAAGTCGGCGTATTTACATGGTTTTATGAAACAGAATTCTGAGAAAAACAGGTTTAAAGATCGACATTCCAAACATAATCATCACAGTCACATATAACATGTAAATTTTGAATTACTCTGTTATGGCACACTTGTTTTAGTCACTATGTTGTAGAAGATTAAAAAGATGTTACTTTGGCACCAATTAAACACACAACACTCATGAATTAGTCGAAAATCAAGAATGTATTGATTCTTTCAATATTCAATGGATTGAATTTTGACCTCCTCTTCTTTTTCTTTCTCTTTATAATTTACTGAAAATTAGATATGTATTAGACATTGCCAGTATTATTCTATCAAATCACGCAGTCTAAATATCCACAACCACCAAGCATTTTTAATGCAAGGAGAAACTTAGGTAACTTTAAACACAAATAAAACAAATGGACCTGTCCGACTCGAGTGTCTATGCTTCGTGTGTCTCTGGTTCTGTCCAGGTGTCTATGATCCGCGTGTCTCGCGTGTCTCCGCCTGTCTGGGTTCTGTCTGCGTATGTGTAAATGTAAATGTAAATGTCTGTCTGTGGTTCTGTCTGCGTGTCTATGGTCCGCGCTCGTGAGCAGAGAGAGACGTGAGCAGAGAGAGAGAGCAGAGAGAGACGTGAGCAGAGAGAGAGAGACGCGAGCAGAGAGAGAGAGCAGAGAGAGACGTGAGCAGAGAGAGAGAGACGCGAGCAGAGAGAGACGTGAGCAGAGAGAGAGAGCAGAGAGAGACGTGAGCAGAGAGAGAGAGACGCGAGCAGAGAGAGAGAGCAGAGAGAGAGTGAGCAGAGAGAGAGAGACGCGAGCAGAGAGAGAGAGCAGAGAGAGACGTGAGCAGAGAGAGAGACGCGAGCAGAGAGAGACGTGAGCAGAGAGAGAGACGCGAGCAGAGAGAGAGAGCAGAGAGAGACGTGAGCAGAGAGAGAGAGACGCGAGCAGAGAGAGACGTGAGCAGAGAGAGAGAGACGCGAGCAGAGAGAGACGTGAGCAGAGAGAGAGAGACGTGAGCAGAGAGAGAGAGCAGAGAGAGAGACGTGAGCAGAGAGAGAGAGACGCGAGCAGAGAGAGACGAGAGCAGAGAGAGAGAGAGACGCGAGCAGAGAGAGACGTGAGCAGAGAGAGACGAGCAGAGAGAGACGTGAGCAGAGAGAGACGTGAGCAGAGAGAGAGAGACGTGAGCAGAGAGAGAGAGCAGAGAGAGACGTGAGCAGAGAGAGAGAGACGTGAGCAGAGAGAGACGTGAGCAGAGAGAGACGTGAGCAGAGAGAGAGAGACGTGAGCAGAGAGAGACGTGAGCAGAGAGAGACGTGAGCAGAGAGAGAGAGGCGTGAGAGAGAGAGAGAGAGAGTGAGCAGAGAGAGACGTGAGCAGAGAGAGAGAGACGCGAGCAGAGAGAGAGAGCAGAGAGAGACGTGAGCAAGAGAGAGAGACGAGCGAGAGAGAGAGACGTGAGCAGAGAGAGAGAGACGTGAGCAGAGAGAGACGTGAGCAGAGAGAGAGAGACGCGAGCAGAGAGAGACGCGAGCAGAGAGAGACGTGAGCAGAGAGAGAGAGGCGTGAGCAGAGAGAGAGAGGTGAGCAGAGAGAGACGTGAGCAGAGAGAGAGAGACGCGAGCAGAGAGAGAGAGCAGAGAGAGAGAGGAGAGAGAGAGAGAGAGAGAGAGGAGAGAGAGAGAGGTGAGCAGAAAGAGAGAGACGTGAGCAGAGAGAGAGAGGCGTGAGCAGAGAGAGAGAGAGGTGAGCAGAGAGAGAGAGAGAGAGAGCAGAGAGAGAGAGAGTGAGCAGAGAGAGAGAGAGGCGAGCAGAGAGAGAGAGACGCGAGCAGAGAGAGAGAGAGGCAGAGAGAGAGAGAGAGCGAGCAGAGAGAGAGAGAGAGCAGAGAGAGAGAGAGAGAGAGAGATGCGAGCAGAGAGAGAGAGAGGAGAGCGAGCAGAGAGAGAGAGAGCAGAGAGAGAGAGAGAGAGCGAGCAGAGAGAGAGAGGCGTGAGCAGAGAGAGAGAGTGAGCAGAGAGAGAGAGATGCGAGCAGAGAGAGAGAGAGGCGAGCAGAGAGAGAGAGACGTGAGCAGAGAGAGAGGGACACGAGCAGAGAGAGAGACGTGAGCAGAGAGAGAGACGTGAGCAGAGAGAGAGGGACACGAGCAGAGAGAGAGACGTGAGCAGAGAGAGACGTGAGCAGAGAGAGAGAGACGTGAGCAGAGAGAGAGAGACGCGAGCAGAGAGAGACGTGAGCAGAGAGAGACGTGAGCAGAGAGAGAGAGAGGGTGAGCAGAGAGAGAGAGAGGTGAGCAGAGAGAGACGTGAGCAGAGAGAGAGAGAGACGAGCAGAGAGAGAGAGAGAGAGAGACGTGAGCAGAGAGAGAGAGACGCGAGCAGAGAGAGAGAGCAGAGAGAGAGACGTGAGCAGAAAGAGAGAGACGTGAGCAGAGAGAGAGAGAGAGAGCAGAGAGAGAGAGAGGTGAGCAGAGAGAGAGAGAGAGAGAGAGCAGAGAGAGAGAGAGGGAGCAGAGAGAGAGAGAGAGAGAGCAGAGAGAGAGAGAGCGAGCAGAGAGAGAGAGAGAGCGAGCAGAGAGAGAGAGATGCGAGCAGAGAGAGAGAGAGAGCGAGCAGAGAGAGAGAGAGAGCGCAGAGAGAGAGAGAGAGAGCGAGCAGAGAGAGAGAGAGATGCGAGCAGAGAGAGAGAGATGCGAGCAGAGAGAGAGAGAGAGAGAGAGAGAGAGAGAGGAGCAGAGAGAGAGAGACGGAGCAGAGAGAGAGAGACACGAGCAGAGAGAGAGAGACGTGAGCAGAGAGAGAGACGTGAGCAGAGAGAGAGGGACACGAGCAGAGAGAGAGACGGCGAGCAGAGAGAGAGAGACGTGAGCAGAGAGAGAGGGACACGAGCAGAGAGAGAGACGTGAGCAGAGAGAGAGACGTGAGCAGAGAGAGAGAGGACACGAGCAGAGAGAGAGAGACGTGAGCAGAGAGAGAGACGAGAGCAGAGAGAGAGACGCGAGCAGAGAGAGAGAGACGTGAGTCCGCGTGTCTATGGTCCGCGCTCGGAGCCCAGACTGCAGTGCGTTCACTGAGCTGTCAGAGCGGGGGTCACAGCAGCTGCTCTCGGGCCAGAGCGGAGGATGTAACGTAACGTTCGGTTTATCAAAACATATCACAATATTTAACGTATAACACTAGTGAATTTCACCTAGATTTTTTCAGACATTAAAGACAAGATGTTATATAATAATTGTTTAATGAAAAAACAATTTTGCCACAAGCAACCAAAAGATGTGCCTCAGACAAGAATCGAACCTGGGTTCTCCAGGTCCCTCCCTGTATTTAATGCTATCCATTCGGCCAACAAAGCACCTCTGGGCTAGACAGGTTTGCACGCAGTCTTATACCTGAGCGTCTAAGTCGCTGGCAGAGCTAAAGCGGACTTAGCCTGCCACCTTGTGGCGATAAGATGTACTATTTTTCACGCAGCTGCGTGATTCCCGAGAAGCGTGAATGAAGACGACAAAACGGAATGGGACCTACTGTACTGGTTACACATACTGGTTACACATACTGGAACATGCTGGTTACACATGCTGGTTACACATACTGGTTACACATACTGGAACATGCTGGTTACACATGCTGGTTACACATACTGGTTACACATACTGGTTGCCTTGCTTCTGCCAGTCTGCCCCAAGGCAAATGCGGCAACAGGTGCAGGTGTAGTTTATCACAATCATGTAACTAGTATGCTCAGCTCAGAACCGGTTAAGGACCAGTCCAGACCCATCATTTGGGCGAAAAAAGGCTTAAACTGCAGTAGAGTTATGATTATCAAAAACAACCAAAAAGTTGCTAAATTTAAAATGTAAATTGAAATGTATGGGGCCGTCTCTCTGTGAGTTAATGTGATGCTTGTGCACAGACAAAAACATGCCTTTTCTGTTAATCAAAATGACAACCTTTCGTAAGGGCTTCTAGCTTTGGTTGGACTTGATTTGATTAGCCCATTGCGTAAGCTAAACAGACACTGCACTGTACACAGAGCGTCACAGACATTTCCAGAACAACCGCAGTATGTGACTCCCTCCTGCGTCCACACAGGACCTCAGATAAGACTCGTCCGGGGCACACATGGTTCAAGCAATGGCCATATGTCAACTCAACTCAACGCAATTCAATGTGTTCTTGTAAATAACCCTAAATAACAACAGTAGTTATCTTGGTAGACTTTACAAAACAGTCAAATTCACCAACCAACACTGGAAAAACGGACAAAAAACAAGCCAAATGTATCTTACTGTGGGATGAGGACATTTAGACTGTCATAAAACAAGATTTTTCAATTCTCTTGTTTTAAAAGAAATGTCTCTCTTGAAATGGGAAAATATATAGCGACAATTCTTGAAAAAAGACTAAATGACTTTGTCCCATTGGCAAAGTACTTAAACATATTCAAATGAAATTAAAAACCACTACATTCAAGCAATTACCTCATGTTTTATCATCTTTTGCAGTGAAACATTCCAACCACAGGAAATGCAGTGATAAAAACACATTGGTCCATAAGGACAGATGACCAATGTCCATAAATGTTGATAAATGTTGTTGAATGTGGAGAGTAGCTGCACCCAGAGTTAAACCAACCCACTCCAGCACTTCCTCCCACAGAGCTCTTATCTAAACACGTCACCCTCCCTCCGCTCGGCCGCTGTCCGTCCCCATCCGAGCGTTCAGAATCCATGTGTGAAATGATTACAGCATCCACTTCCTGCCAGTCATCGTTCATAACATGTGTCTCTCAGCAGCAGAGATCTGAATGAAACAAACACAGAGGTTTTGAGACACCTTCTGAATCCACAACCGGGACTTTTGAAGAGAATTTTAGATTTGATACCAATTTGTTCTAGTGAAATGTGTGTCCACCAACTTTTCATTCCCACGATGGAATCAAATTTGAACAAACATGAATGGCTGATATGCAAAAACAGAGAGAACAATCAGAAAAGGGGGCTTCACACACACACACACACACACACACACACACACACACACACACACACGCACGCACACACACACACACACACACACACACACACACACACGTCTCATGTTCCGCAGCCATTTACTTGTAGACAAAAATTTAAGGCACATGAGCAAGACATGGGTCAAACTTTAGAAGTGACTTACCTTTAATTAAAATCAGTTTTTCCATTTTTTTCATAAGCCGTTGGTTGTAAAACTAGGACTCCCAGAGCCGACGGTTTGACTGCTCTCATTCAAACCACTGGGATTCTGAGAAATTGCTCCAAGAATGTTTTGTTTTTTGACAGAATTAAAAGTAAGTAATTTATAAGGGTTTTACTTATCACTTTTACTAATGTTGTAAATGAGCTGTATTCTGTTCTATTCACATCCAACAGGAATGCTGACCAGGACACAAAGAAGCAGGCTTGCTTTTTATTTTAAGAGTCTAGGATCATAGGTCAGATGCACATATATGGTAAAGGTAAATGCTAGTATTTAACCCATTTTAGTTTGCTATTCTGGGTCTTCTGGCGTTGAGCCTGAATCAGAGGAGACCCAGGCAGAAGAGCTCTTTGCCTGAATTGAACTGAATGTATTCTGATTATGTCATTAAACTCCTTTTAATCATAACTCAGAGTTAATTCCTTCTCCATCACTATCCATTGTGCGGGAAACCCTGTCTTCAAAGATAAGGAGACACAGACTACACTAAGTTCTAAACTGGTGAATATGCAGTAACTTGAATTACAGCAAAAAAAAAGGCAGTTTGTTGAAAAGCTACCAAACTGGTAAACATTATGTTGCTATGGTAACAAGTGGTACTGGTACTGACTCTTCCCAGGGAGGTAGAACTAGTCTAAATTCAAAAGTAAAAGACAATTTAATAAAAAATATTATAACACAGATAAACTACATTCAAAGTTCTGCAGACCAAGAGATAGATGAGCTGAGTAATTATACTTTGAAAGCTGAAAAAACCCTAACCCTGGTGTATGAGTTCTAGAAGTTTCAGGATACTGGGAGTCTTGTTGTTAAAAAAAATCCCTACGATTAATGAATTACTGAAAGCACATGTATTCTGCTAATGCGTGCCAGCCCCTGTGTTTGAGGAGTCGGTCATGGGCGCCATGGTAACGCTCCGGAGAAGCCATGGAGATGCTCTTTCATGTGGATGCTCCATTCATTCGCCGGCTGCACCACCACCGTCTCACGTCAGCCATCACATGACCAGCGCTCAATGAGCCTCACATACATATTCATACTGTACAAGCAGACTTTTATTAGAACAAACCCGGGATTAGTTTAAAGAGATTTATTTTTACACTCCAATTATTTCCTTATATTTGATCAGTAATAAATATGAGGTAATATTTATGAGGCCATGTTTGTTTTTACAGTGTGTCCTTTACCAGTGCTGACATTTTGTTGTGTTATGATAAAAGTGCCATAAATATGAACGCAGCTGACATGAAAACACATCCATCTGACCTTTACACCGTTACTGATCCGAGCACAAACACAGAGCAGGTTATGGTCTATTGTTTGCTCATTTGAATTTCCAGGCAACGAAACGACACCACGAGCTGCAGAGAAAGATCCAGACCCAGGCTTTCCCCATTAAGAGCTCTGTAGAAGAGGAACACGCATGGGGAGCTGAGAAAGGAGACAAAACAGTGTCTTCATTATATATCATTATATCTCTCCCACATGCTAGAGAGAGGCCAGAGAGAGACTAGAGACAGAGACCATAGAGAGACTAGACTGGAGAGAAAGACCAGAGAGAGACCAGAGAGACTAGAGAGACTACAGAGACCCCAGAGGGAGACTAGAGAGAGACCAGAGAGAGACCATAGAGAGAGTGCAGAGACCCTGGAGACCAGAGAGAGACCAGAGAGAGACCAGAGAGACTATAGAGAGACTACAGACACCCCAGAGAGAGACTAGAGAGAGACCAGAGAGAGACCATTGAGAGACTGGAGAGAAAGACCAGAGAGAGACCAGAAACCCTGGAGACCAGAGAGAGACTCAAGACCCCAGGGAGAGAGACCAGAGAGACTAGACTGGAGAGAAAGACCAGAAACCCTGGAGACCAGAGAGAAATAGATCTGAGAGACCATTGGAGAAGACCAGGGAGAGAGCAAAGAGAGACTAGAGAGAGAGAGAGAGAGAGAGAGAGAGAACAGAGACCCTAGAGACCAGAGAGAAACCAGCATGATAAATATGTAAGTGCAACCTCTCCAACATGCATTTCATTTTGCAGGAGGGTTTGTTGAAGAGTTAGTGTCTAAAAAGAAGGACTGTGGTGATGACATTCTACAACATGTATGGACATTTATCAACATTCATGGACATTGGTCTCTCCCTATGGACCAATACCATGTGGTCTCTCCCTATGGTCCAATACCATGTGGTTTCTCCCTATGGTCCAATACCATGTGTTCTCTCCCTATGGTCCAATACCATGTGGTCTCTCCCTATGGACCAATACCATGTGGTCTCTCCCTATGGTCCAATACCATGTGGTCTCTCCCTATGGACCAATACCATGTGGTCTCTCCCTATGGTCCAATGCCATGTGGTCTCTCCCTATGGTCCAATGCCATGCGGTCTCTCCCTATGGTCCAATACCATGTGGTCTCTCCCTATGGACCAATACCATGTGGTCTCTCCCTATGGTCCAATGCCATGTGGTCTCTCCCTATGGTCCAATACCATGTGGTCTCTCCCTATGGACCAATACCATGTGGGCTCTCCCTATGGTCCAATACCATGTGGTCTCTCCCTATGGACCAATACCATGTGGTCTCTCCCTATGGACCAATACCATGTGGTCTCTCCTATGGTCCAATACCATGTGGTCTCTCCCTATGGACCAATACCATGTGGGCTCTCCCTATGGACCAATACCATGTGGTCCCTCCCTATGGACCAATACCATGTGGTTTCTCCCTATGGTCCAATACTATGTGGTCTATGTTATTTTGTGTGTCCCAACTGTTGATTCTCTGATCTGCGTTTTCAATGGTTTTAAGTCCTCTGATATGATCTTAAAACCATTCATACCATTCACAAGAATAAAATTGTATTGAATTGAAGTACCTCCAAGACGGCTGAAGTTTTTATGCATGCGATGATGATATTCTCACATATAAATTATTGTTGAACAACATGAAACACCATTAAACCTCAATGTAATGTCGTTCATCTTCTGATTGACTTCTCTTCTTCAAACACAGTCGCCACGGCAACATGATTAAGCAATGTGTGAGCCTTGGATACGTGTGTTCAAAGTCAAGGTGTGTTGATCATTATCTTAACCTATTTGCTTTCGGATTTTTACGAACCATTTTTCTGTTTGGTTAACGACTATTAAACACTCAACATAGCGATTCGTAGTGGCTAATAATAAAACTTGTGAACTGTATGCATTTGTTGTGCTAACAATCTCAACGATTGTAAATAAGGGGTGGTGCACTTGACGATTTTATGCAATGCATGGGTATCACAAGTTTTATATTAGCCAACAACATAATCTTATGTTGAGTGTTTATTTCGTTTTTAAGCAAACAGATAAATTGTTTCGCTAAAAAGTGAAAAGTCAAACTGTTCCGCCCGGGATTTGACCTGGTCGTTGCGACTGAAGTCTCATTACGCACCGCTACACCACTGCCAGGCATTTTTTTGACTACTGTGAAAAAATAATAGATTACATTCCTAAAACAAAGACGCAGCACTTTACGCAGTTACAGCCTTGACATGTGAGCGTCGGTGCGAGGACTCTGTTTTCCACGTTCTAATTCGACGTATAGGCGTGTGCATCTGGACGTAATAGCAATGCCTTCCCCAGACGTTGAATCTGTACCTCTGTCGCTGCCCTGCCTTTATTTAAATGGAATCACCCTCTCTAGTAAGTAACACAGTATGCACCCAGTCTTTTAGATATTGATGTATCATTTCCACATTGTAAAGGGTTGGAGACAGAAAGTAAGTTGTTTTCACACGTAACGTGGAATGTGTTAAGTTTACTTTTGTATATTAATCTGTATTTGAATTTGGCTCAGTCGCATGAATCTTTAATAAAAAACGGCTGGCCAGCTGCTCAGTCGAACGGGCAGACACCTTTTTTTTAGTTTTTAAGTTAAAGTTCTAACAAATGCATATTGTTTTTCATATTTCAAACTAATTTTAGCACATTGAATTTCTAGGTTCAGTGTCCAACACAACTATGTGTTAAAAAAGGTTAAAAGGATTCTTGAGTTTTAAAATAATAATTCATTATTTTTCATAGTTACCTGTATATTTCACAATGGTTTATAAAACTGCCAAAAGACAAACCAGTCCTTAGTAAATAAGTTTAAAAAACAGGGGGGATATCAGCTTAATATTTGGGACACTCCCATCATTTAGGACACCTGTGATGTATCAGTTGGAGTTGCGGTCAGGTTGTGGGACCCTGTGTGACCAGGTGGGACCAAGGGAGCACACCAGATGTTACCTGCTGCAGTATGAGCGTATAATTTTCATGTATTGCCTTTGTTTAATAAATGATTTAATGTCTTCCCAGGTCGTCATTGTCAGAGACTTTCACTTCTTCTCACGGTGGCTGTTCTAAATGAGCCACTACAGTTGTTTATTTTCTTTGTTATGTTAGGCGCAAATTTTAACATATCCATTCATCTGGCTTCGGTAGCAAGCTAACTAGCGCTTTGCAACTTATTCAATTTCTTACTTTTTCTTATAAACTTTAAACAACCAGCCATATCGTTAATTAAAATACATTTACCTTTTGCTAATGCAGTTCAATTATTGTGACTAATCCATAGAGTATAATTTCTGAATGTTGACAATAACTAATGTTCGTGTGTATTCCCTAATGTGTCATGTGTGTATGAGTCTTACAGGTGTCAGCTGTGTTGAAGGTGTTCAAAGGTGAAGATCACACTCTATCACACATTGTTTGTTCTTCTGTATTATTATGTTGTTGTTAGAATAAAACCATTATTTGGGTGTATTTCTCTTCTGAAAACATCCTTTTTTCAGATGTTCAGCAACTACATCAAGATGAGGATAAAAGAGCAACAAGGGAAAAATGCCCCCTCGGAAATGCAACATGGGTAGAGTTAATTACAGGGTAAAGTAGCTTTCAGGCTCATTTGTGTCCATGTGCCAACACAAATGCACATTTGCAATTGTTTTACATGGACTTACGCAATGACCCAAAGCCCTTATCCCAAGTTTCTCAGTACACAGAGCTGTTTTTCCAGGGTGTCCTCAAGCGAGTGCCGTGCCAAGGTTTGTATTCACATCGGATGATGGATCGAGTGGTTTGAGGCCATTAATAGGAAAGTTTATCATGTGTTGTTATATTCACTTTTGCCACATTATGTTGAATTGAAAAACTAAACATGTTCCACAGTTTCAAGGTGCTTGTTGCTTGGACCTTGTGATGAGAGACTGCTGAAGACCAAGAGACGACACATGTTGGAACACCTCAACCTTCGAATAAAATGGCTGCTTCTGCCTTTCAGATTGTGTTTTACATCTGGGGAACGTTTGAGTGTAGCGGGAGGTGCGCTGGGTTTAATATCGATCCACACATAGGTGCTTACAATCATGTTTTTTTTACTTTGGCATGAACTGTTCAGTAACAGTAGTGTTCATACAACGGTGCCTGTGTGCTTTTAACTTGTATACTTTGCTGTAGGAGAAACATGATTATTAAGCAGCTCATTTGCAATAATGACTGATATCCTTTTACATACACGTTGTTCTAGGATTTTTGAAGCGTTGTGTTTCTCGTTTATTGCCCCGAGTCAGAACTAAACCCATGAGAAAGCTGCATTCAGATTCACAAGCTAAAATTGGAACGGTCTTCCTGGAATGTGAGACAGGGCTTCTTCTTTGACCAATGTTAAACTTCCAGGTTTAAAACCACTTCTGTTTCTGCTTCAAACTGAGCGATTTTATGAGAGATTTTATTTTTATCTTTTTAATTTACTGTCAATAGTTATTAATTGTAATGGCCTTGTTTGATTGTTTCTATCTTTTGTCAGTGCATTGAGTTTCCTTTTGTTTTGGACTGTGCTATACCAAATAAACTTGCCTTGCCTATTGCCAAAAAGATGTCTCGACCAGTAAGGGATTCTGCAGAGGTTAAGTGGTCCAATAGAACTTGTAAATGGACGTATATAACGTCAATATTTTGGTCCCTATAAAGCCGTCGAGAGGACGTCGGAACACC